CCCCTTTACTTTGAGTCTAAATGCATCCTTGCAGGTTAGATGCGTTTCCTGGAGACAGCAGATGCTTGGCTTGTTTTTTTTATCCATTCGTCCAGTCTATGTCTCTTGAGAGGGGAGTTCAAACCCTTCACATTTATTGAGAGAACCAATAAGTGGGGTGAATTACTGTTCATTCTGTTGGGTTGCATTTTGCTGCTTTGTTTTCTCTCTTGAGCCATTGTGGAATCTAGCCTTTGATCTTTAACTTTTGCGTGGTTTCACATTTGAGAGTGTTTATTGTGCTGATCCTTGTGTAATTCTGTTTTGAGTACTTCTTGGAGAGCTGGTCTTGTCTTGGTGAATTCCCTCAATCTTTGCTTATCTGAGAATGTCTTTATTTCTCCTTCATATATGAAACTTAGTTTTTTAGGGTACAAGATTCTAGGCTGGGCATTATTCTGTTTCAGAAGAGTGAGAATGGGACCTCAGTCTCTTCTTGCTTGTAGGGTTTCAGTTGAGAAATCTGGAGTTATTCTGATGGGCTTTCCTTTGTATGTTACTTGTTTCTTTCTCCTTACAGCTCGTACAAGGGCCTCTTTTGTGGCTATTTTGATCAATCTGATGACTGCGTGACGTGGTGTCTTTCTATTTGCATTGAATCTCCCTGGGGTCCATTGAGCTTCTTGTACCTGTATATCTAGATTTTTATCGAGGCCTGGAAAATTCTCCACTATTAATTCTTCAAATAGCTTATCCAGCCCTTGAGTGTTTTCTTCTTCATCTTCTGGAACCCCTATCACCCTCAGGTTCAGTTTTTTCACATAATCCCACATTTCTTGTAGGCTTATTTCTTTTCTCTTAATTTTCTGCTCGATTTCTGTAACTGACTTATTTAATTGGAAGGAGTTGTCTTCAGTCTCTGAGATTATTTCTTCTGTTTGATCTACCCTTTTTTTGAGACTTTCCATGGTGTTTTATAGTTCCCTGTATAAGTCCTTAATTTCCAGGAGATCGGTTTGATTTTTCTTTAATATTTCAATTTCTTTAGTGAATTTTTCTTCCAAGTCCTGGATTTTTTTTGTGGTTTCTTTGTGTTGGTTTTCCATTTTTTCTTGCATATCATTCAGTTTTCTTACAATCCATGTTTGAAATTCTTCTTCAGTCATTTTAGTGTTCTGAGTTTGGTTAACGTCCATTACTGGGGAGCTGTTGTTCCTCTTTGGAGGTGTGCTTTCCGTTTGAGTCTTCATACTTCCAGAGTTCTTTCGCTGGTTCCTCCCCATCTGGATCAGTTGTTCCTTCTTGCCTTTAGATTTTCGTTTGGATAATGACACGCCCTGTTTAGTCTCTGAGCCAGTAGGTGGTGTTTGTGGGTGAGATTCAACCACACCCTTTGTGATGAATCAGTAGATGCAGTAAAATGGTGTGCAGGATGACCTCCCTGTCAGTAGGCGGCACTTGCAGGGAGGAGCAAGCTGCAGTGCTGTTTTTGGGTCCTGTAGCTAGCTCTTATTCCTCTAGAGAGGCCCTCTTGTGCCTCAGGTGGTGGGTGGGGCCCTGGGATTTCCAGGTGTGTCCTTATTCTCCACCTCAGTGGGGGCAGCACCGGGAGTGAGTCTGGGTGGGGCTGGGTTGGGTAAACCTGCCCTCAGGCTCCACGACTGCTGTTAGCAGGGGTCAAAGGTCTGCTCTTTGTTTCTGTGCAGAGCTGCCGGGAGGGGCTGAAATGGCTCCACTCAGCTGAAAGTCTGGGCTTGGGGGGTTGGGCTGTCCATGACCCGCACTCTGGAGCAGGTCTCGCTCCCCTCCAATCTCCCCCTCTCCGTGTCCTCTCCCATGCCTCTGCCAGCAAGCGGGACCTCAGGCCAATGGATCTCCCCTGGCTGTGACGTGGGCCAGGAGGTTCCCTACCCAGGATCGTAGCCTGAGCTGGGTGCACAGCCCTCTTTTGGGAGGAGGGTTGCCGCTCCGGCAGGCTGATCTGCCCCTGAAGGGACACACTCCTCAGTAGGCTCTTTCACAGATCTCTCTTCTGTGCCCCGGGGCAGTGCGATCCTGACCTGGGTGTACGGATCTGGTCTGCAGGCCTGTCCCCTGGACCCTGGAGATCAATCCCTGACCCTGCCAGGGGGAGAGGTGCTGGTCTTGAATCCCTACAGGGTGCCCAAGCTGGATCGATTTCACTCCACCTCGGGATTTGCCCCACTCTCCTGGAGTCCCCAGGCAAGTAGCACCTGGGAGGGGCTGGCGGGTAGGGAGCTTGTGGTCTGAGTACTCCTCGGTCTGCTGTAGGGCCCCAAAAGGAAAGGTCCCGTTCCTTGGAGATGCCTCCGTGTGATGGCTAAATTGTCTCTCTGGGCACGCCCAGGTAGGGAGGGGGAAGGAGAGAATGGTGCACTATGGCGTCTGCCGATAGGCTTGGATCTGCGCCCGGGGAGGTGTCCCGAGGGTGCTGGGTACCCGGCACTGTGTCCGCAAGAGGCCACTGCTCACTGGCGGCAGCCATCTCTGGGCTGGTGTCAGCAGGTCTCTCCAGCCGCTCAGGAACCACCAGCAGTCCGAGATGCAAGGGTGGGGGAAGTTGACCGCTCCACCTACCCGTGTCGCTGGTCTCCAAGCCTCTCAGGACCTTTCTCCTTCCAGTTCTCCTCCGCAACGTCTTCCTGTGGAGTCTCCTGTAGTTTCAGGCACCCTTCCTTCCGACCCTCACCCGATGTTTCTCTGCTAGCTTATTTTTTTCTCTTTCTTCTAAAATTCATCTTTTTTGCAGAGACATTGTGACTGGCGGCTTTTCTCGTCCGTCTTGGCTTCCCTCAATCTAATTTTATAGTAATGATGTTTCTATTTTTTTTGGAGAAATCATATAAATTTAGGTCCCACACAACTTGGATCTGCTCTTAGCTAACAAGCTTGAATTTTCTATTTCTTGCCTTTCTCCCTTACAGAGACATCGACATCTACATCCAGTCTTTTCTTCTGTTAAATATCCCCAGCTGTCAAATAGGCCCCATACCCATGTATACAGCCTGATTTTAGCAGCTGCCCCACACTGGGCCCCTTAGCCCCTTAACTTGACTTAGTTCTTGGCCCCTGTCTTCCTGCCTTGTCAGAGTCTTCTTGGCTCTACATCAGGCTTTCCATCCTCACTTTTGGTTCCCTTGTTTTAGTGACCTATTTGAACTCTCTCTGTGCTTTCCGAAATCAACATCCTCCTTAGCTCCCAGCTCTGCACGCTGATTGAGTTATCGTTAGCACTTCTTACTTATTCATTCCTGAAATTGATAAGGAATCTGTTTTATTCACTCCTTCATTCATTCATCAATGTTTGTTGAGCACATACTATTAATATGTGGTCGGCACTGTGCTTGATGCTAACAAGATTGTGATGAGGAGACAGATAGAACCTCTGCATTACAGATCTTAGTCTACTTAGGGTCTTAAATATTGACCACATAACTACACTTTCATGACTTCAGTCACCTTTTCACTGATAACTCCTAAATTAATGTCTGCATGTTGCTTGATTATTGAGGAAATTATAGCCGGGATATCTGAAGTAATAAAAATCACTGAGGTGACAAAAAGCATGTGATTACTTTAAGCTGTGGGATTTGATGAAGCAAAACACTGGATCAGTCACTGTGAATGGTTTTATTATCACCCCCAAATTTTATACTGCTTCTGGAACCATAGTATGTGGGAAGTATGCTAAGAATCTAAGATTCTCATTTAGGCTCTATGACTACATTGCTCTGACCTAATTTTCTTCACTAAATGTTTACTGTTGAATTAATAAAAAAAAAAAGAGTAATAGAATAAATACATATGAAGATAATTAGCTATCTTTGTAGTTAAAGTGGCAAAATGGCAATGAGTTATATACCTTAGTTTACCTATTTCCAGTTTATATCTGTTGTCTCAGTATAATATGAATAGCACCCTCTTTTGCTTTCAAAATTGTCTCCAACTAGACAATAGATTATATGGACACTCTAAAACCACTTTTTTAAGAAATATTTTTTGTTATGCTTACTGTTTTTAAAAAAATCCTATTTTTTTATTACTTTACAGTCAAAGATTGTCGGAGTACAAATATTTTTGGAATAAGACTCTTTCATTACTTACTTTTACTAAAAGAGAACTAACAAGTATTAAAAATGAAGTATATGATAATTTTCAAAACTGGACTTCACTGAAAGGAGAAGTTTTTCTACAAATTAAATCTATAAGTGAAACAGCCTTGACAGGTTTGTTACGTATATTTAGAACATAATTGTCCTTTTTTGTTAAATGGTACATCTTAAGAAATGAAATAATGATATTTTATGTGATGGGAATTAGGATTAACTTTTTAAACCTGTTACCAATTGGGAGACTAGATAACCATTAAGATCTATGCTAATGCTGAAATTTAATAATTATAGGCTGATCTAAGATAAGCTATGATACATCTATCTTGAGCTGTGGACAAGTCTGGTTATTACTATTAGATATACCAATTTGTATTTTTAAAACTTTTTTTCTTTTAATGGCTGAGTACCTCACATTAGATCATCTTTCCCACAGATAACAACCATAAATTCTGGACAAAATAGCTACCTAAAAACATTTGAGCGTGACCCAAACCAAGCACCTAATGGAGGGAGTGTCGAAAATTAAAAGGAGGCATATTATTAAGTGAAAGATGCTAATCTGAAAAGGCTACATACTGTATTATTCCAACTATACAACATTCTGGAAAAGACTAAACTGTAGAATAGTAAAAAGATCCGTGGTTGCCAGGAAATCTGGGCCAGGAAGGATGAATAAGTGGAGCATGGAGGATTTTTAGGGCAGTGAAACTATTAATATTTTCTATGATACTACAATGGTGGATACATGTCATTATACATTTGTCAAAATCCATAAAATACACAACAACAAGAGTGAACTCTAATGTAAGCTATGAATTTTGGGTGGTAATAATATGTTAATGCTGATTCATCAATTGTAGCAAATGTACCACTCCAGTGCACGGTGTCCATAGCAAGGGAGGTCATACATATGGAGATGGGGGTATTTGGGAATTTTCTGTACTTTCAGCTCAATTTTCCTGTGAACCTGAAACTGCTCTAAAAAACAGCCTGTTAAAAATTTTTTTAGAAACACTGAAAGGAAGACATGACAGTAGGCAGATTCCTTTTATTTATTTTTTATTTTTATTTTTTTAGGGTAAATTACTTTTAAATTTTTTTTAAGGCTGTTGGACTGAGAGCAGGGTATAGTTTCCTTCATGCAGGGAAGCTGAAATTCTGATAGAAGTCTATAGTATTTTTGGGTCCGAAGATTGGAAGACAGAGATCAAGGCAGCCTTAGCCTCTGAGAAGTGAGAGGATATCCTAGAAAAGTGTTAGCCAGAAAGAGAGAGGGCAAATTTTGCATATAAACTCTCTCTAAATCTCTCAATTATCCCTGAAATATATGTGCACAAGGAAGACTCTAAACAGCCCACTGAAAACCAAAATAATTGATATTTTAGCTGTCATCTATCCCAGGGGAAATAGGAAAGAGATTTAGTAGTTTTGAGTTTGGCTAAATTAACTGCTGGTTAAAACAAAACAAAACAAAAAGTCAGTACTTGGAGGAGGAACATAAAAGAACCAAGAGTCTCCATAACACAACATCCACAATGTTCAAGATATAACCCAAAATTACTTAACCTAGGAAGAAACAGGAAAATATGGCCCATATCCAAAAGAATAGACAGTGAATAAGAGACCAACACTGAGTTGACCAAGAAGGTATTATCAGCTGATCAGGATTTTAAATCAACTGTTATAACTGTGCTCAGGACATAAAGGAAAATGTGCTAGTAGTGAATAAAAAAGAGAAAATCTCAGTGAGAAACTGTTAAAAATGGGAAATTCAAAAATTAAAAAATATAATACTGAAATAATTCAGTGGATGAACTTTTATAGCATATTGCATCTGCAGAAAAATCAGTGAACTTTAAGATAGATCAATAGAAATTATTCAGTTTGAAGAGATAAACATAAAAAAAAAAAAAATGAACGGAGCCCCAGGGTCCTTAAGAGAGAATAAATTGCACCATCACTGACAAATATGGGTAAATTTAAAAGACTTTTTTCTTTTGAATTTAAAAAGAATTTACATGCTTATTTAAAGCAAAAAGTATTATACTGTGGAGCTTATAAACTATATCATTGTAGCATATAACAAGTAGAGCATAAAAGATGGAGGGAATAAATGGATCCATTTGGTTGTACTCTTTTTATATTTTATGTGACATGATGGAATATTTATTTTATTTATGCTAAAAAGCTAAGGATGTATAGTATAATTCCTAAAGCAACCACTAAAAGAAAAAATACAAAGATATGTAACTAAAAAGCTAATAAATAAGTTAAAAGATAACTTTTGACCAGGAGTGGTGGCTCACACCTGTAATCCTAGCACTCTGGGAGGCTGAGACAGGAGGATCGCTTGAGCTCAGGAGTTCGAGACCAGTCTGAACAGGAGCGAGACCCCATCTCTACAAAAATAGAAAAATTAGCTGGGCGTGGTGGCACGTGCCTGTAGTCCAAGCTACTCAGAAGACTGAGGCAGGAGGATCGCTTGAGCCCAGGAATTTGAGGTTGTGGTGAGCTTCAATGATGCCACTGCACTCTACCCAGGGTGATAGAGCAAGAGCCTGTCTCAAAAATAAATAAAGAAAAAATTTTTAAAAATGTAAAAATGGTAACTCTTTAAAAGGTGTTCAAATAATAAAAAGACGGAGGATTAAACATCACCTGACTCGTAAGATTTATTATAAGGCTGCAGTAATCAAATCAGTATAGTACTGGCATATGGATCAATAAAAGATCAGTAGAATAAAATAGCCTGGTATGTGACCTCTACTTATATGATCATTTGACTTTTGACAGAAGCACCAAAACAATCCAGTGGGAAAAAGAAAGTCTTTCAACAAATTGTGCTAAAACAATTGCGTACCCATATGGAAAAATAAAAATATACCTCAATTCCTACATTATACATAAAAATTAATTCAAGATAAATCATTAAGCTAAATGTAAAAGATAAAACTATAAAACTACTAGAAGAAACAGCAAAACATTTGCATGACTTGATAGTAAATGGTTTCTTGGCTAGGACACAGAAGTAAGAACTATAGAAGAATAAAAATTGATGAATTAGATCTCAAGATTAAAAACGTCTGCTCATCAAAAGATGCCATTAAGAAAATAAGTAGGTAAGTCACAGAGAAAAATATTTTCAAAATGTGACAAAGGATTGTTGTGCAAGTTACATAAAGAATGCCCACAAATCAATAATAAAAGGACAAACAGTCCCATCAAAAATGGCCAAAAGATTTGAACAGACACTTTAAAGGGAGGATATACAAATAGCCAATAAAGATGAGAAAAAACGTTCAACATTATTAGCCCACCTGACTGGTTAAAATGAAAAAGACAACAGCAAATGTTAGAGAGAAAGTAGAGCAACTGGAATCCTCATACAATTTGGTGAGAGTGTAAAATGTGGCAGCCACTTTGAAAAAAGATCCAACAGTTTCTTATTAAAACTAAAGATACATCTATCCAATGACCCTGAAATTCCACTCTTTGGAATTTACCCAAGAGAATGTCCACAAAATACTTGTAGGAGACTATTCAGCAACTTTATTTGAGCTGAATTCAAAATATTCTAAAACTGGAAAAAGCCCAGGAGTATATCAATAGGAGAATGGATTATCAAAAAAACAACTGAACACATGTAATGGAATGTGTAATGAACTGCAGGTAATGCAGTAACCTGGATAAACTTTGAAAATATTATGCTTCCTGAAAGTAGCCTTACATAAATAATGCATATTGTATTATTATATACATGGTGTTCTAGAATAGGCAAAACTAATCTATGGTGAGATAAAAACAGAACAGTGGTTGCCTTGGAGGACAGGATTGACTGGAAAAGCATAAGGGGAACTTTCTGTGGTGATAGTAATGCTCTGTTTTCATAGGGGTTTGGTTTACACAGCTGGATGCATTTGTCAAAACTCATCTATTGGTACACTTACGATTTGTGCATTTCTTTGTATGTGAGTTTTACTTGAAAATAAAAAGAAATATATACAAATATTGAACTCTAATCTGTATGCTGAAGTGTTTAGGAGAGAAGTATATTTATATCTGCAACTTACCTTGACATTCGTTAAAAAAAAAGATCAATGGATGGATAAACTGTTTGATAGACAAATATGTGATAAAACAAATATTAATTGTAATCTTGGTGGTGTGTATATTTATATTTTCTATACAATTCTTTTGACTTTTCTGTGTTTTTAAATTTTCATGGCTAAATGTTGGAAAAAAGAAATCATTTTAAACCATGAATTTTATCATATAACATGTGCCTTCAGAAATGCATTTGTATATGACAATATCCTTTTGAATTTTTAAATTAGCTTTAAGAATTAAATTTAGGCAAATAGAGGAATATTATAACAAATAACCATGTAAAGTATAACTATATTATTAACTGTAGCAGGGAAAAGATTCCTCTGACACAGATACGCAGATACTGGAAGATGAAAGTCCATAGATGAACATTGCAGGTCCAAAGGATATGGGTAGCACAGTGACAGAGTCTCCTACAAGTAATAATATAGATATACTTTACATAATGTATTTCATCATACAAATATACTCTATGCATCATTTCCATTATTCGAACATTCATATGTATCTTTTTGTGGATATATGTTTTTGTTTCTTTTTGGTAAATACCTAGGAGTGGGATGGCTGGGCCATATGGCAGGTTATATTTAACTTTTTAAAAAACTACCCAAGTTTTCCAAAGTGGCTGTACCTTTCACATTTCTACCAGCAGTGTGCAAGAGCTCTATTTGCTCCACATTCTTGCCAACACTTAGTATTGTCAGTCTCTTTAATCGTAGTCATTGTATTGCAATATGTATGGAAGATATTAATCCACGTTTCAAATTATCTCATTTATAATTTTTGAGTGTCTCATCACATCTTATTATAGAATATTTACCTCATAATTTCAGTAATAATGAACTCAATACTACTAGAATAGAAAAGGCATTAACTCTACCAGTTTTTGTTTTCGTTTGTGTCGCATTGTTAATATTGTCTGTAATTCATGTTTTCTTTTCAGGAATCTTTTAAGCCAATTGTTCATTTTAGGGCAGTTATTTTTGTTAAACTGGATAGCCAGGAAG